ATGCTGAAAATTTAAGTCATTAAATAAATGAATAAATAAATAAAAATACCCGGATGATGAAGATGTCAATCTTCGAAAAGCAGCAATAACTTCACGCTCATTTTTTTCCTTACATTCTATAAAAACATCATGAATCCTTCCATCTTTCTTCCATGTCATTTCCCTTAACAACTTAGCCTCATCTCCATGAATTTTCTTTTCAAGAAACCAAGCATCAAACATAAGCAATAAACAACTCCAAAATTCCCATGGCATATCCACTTGTTTACCCGATGCTTTTTTCTTACTTTCTTCTTTTAAATTGTCAAGTGTTTCTTGAAACTCCTTCACTGAATCTTGGTATAATTGTACATAAGAATGTATTTCTGCATCTGATCTTTCGAGGCGTTCATCAAGTAGTTTTATTTTCTGTTGCATTAGATCGTTATATTGTTGTAGCTTTTCTGATGATAATTTGTAAATGTTGGCATCTTCAAGAGACTCTTCAAGTCTTTCAACTTTCTTTCGAAGCTCCTGGTTTTGTTGTAGTAATAAGATAGCTTGATCTGCTTGACTTGTTGACTTGTCAAGTAATCCTTGCAAATGCTCTACCTAAAACACAAGATTATTAAAATTTTAAATTTTTTTTTATATATTTTATAAAATACATTACAAATGTTTTACCTTATTCCAAAGGGTCTCACACTCTGATCTTAAAGTTGAAAGTTGAACACCATCTTGTTGGGAAACAGTGAGCTTGTATTCCAACTCTTTTATGGACAATTCCAAAACAGTGCGTTCATTTTCAAGCATTTCAACACGTTCGTCTGTTCTCTTGACATCCCTAAGTTGCTCTTTAAGGGTATTTAGGTCATTTTGCAGGGAAATGTTTTCATTTCTTAATACATTCAGCTCCTCACTTAAAGCACGGGTTTGTCGATCAGGAGATCGAAGAACAACAGCATCATGTGCTCCATTATTATACATTTCAGCTTCAAGTTTCTCTAAATGATCCTGTAAAAGCTCAACGTGTATCTTATCTTGTGCAGCAACTCTGATTCTGGCATCAGTTTCAGCTAACCTCATTTCCAAATTGTTGATTTCTCTTTGTAAGACCTCTTTTTCACTAAGAATTGTTTCCAAATCTTCAATTGCATTGATTCGGGCTTGGTTTAGGATATGAATATCTAGAAAACAATTAGACAGAAAAAAGAATTACAGGAAAATACCATCTTTTTTAATAATACTAAAGCGAATTTATACTCAAGAGGAAAAAGATTATACTTTTCTCTGCATTACGTATCATTCCTATTACATCCTGAAGATTTACAGTTGTAAGCTCGCCCACTTTATCTGCACCAATAGACTGTTAAGATGAAAAATCAGATTATGAATAATAGAAACAGATGCAAGTTAATTTCTAGTTCTTTATCACTTTAGGTTTCTTTCATATATACTCTGTTTAAAGCCTTTTGTTCAGATCAATACAGCTTCACCAAAACTACAGCATTCAACTTAGAAAAACTCAAAATAGCTGGAAACAGATGTAACAGCAATACCTAGGATAAAACCATCATATATGAATATTCTTGAGGCATACCGGGATCAGTTTGCTGCTTGAATTCTTATCATCAAAACGCTGAATTGCTACAACCTCATCAGAGGTAGATTGATGAGAAAAGTCATCTTCATTTTCTGAATCACTATTTTCATTGCCAGGTGTCATGAGATTGTCATTTTGGGGAATCTGTGCAGGGATGATTTTCTTTGCTTGTGGTCTCCTAGGTGGTAAGCTGTGTCAATTTGAACATATTGCACAAAATTAAAAGTCGTTACAAAGTAACAAAAAGTTAAGATACAACAATGCATACCAAGTACTATTCTTTTGTACTGAGGTAATGTATTGTAAGCATTTTCCTCTATCATAACAGTTAATAAAAGTGTTGTTCCAGATTATTTTAGCAACTGTGGTTCAGTTTACCTAAACTCATCATGTCAATGAAAAACTCTAGAGGCAACAAGATTTTAACAACTTTCTATAAAGTAACAATTATTGGTTAATTTGGTTAGATTTCAATTTCTCAAACAAAGTGTGATCCCTAATTCATTTACCAACAAATTCAGACATAAACGAATCAAAGCACAATGCAAGGTCTAAACACCAAAATCATTGATCAACGTGAAGTTAAAGCAATCATGTTCAATTATAATATGACATAGAACTAGATACAATACGCTTGCTGTCCATTTAATATTCCCAAATCTATCACCTTTCTCGAAACAAGGGAAAAAGTAATTCATAGTCCAAAATCAGAAATTTATCTCGAAATCGAACCAATTTACATAAGAAACAGTGTTTCCTTCGACAACGCAAAAACGAAACAATGAATAATACCTGGAGTTACGTTGACGTATCTTGCAGGAAACTGTAGCAAACCGAGGAGAAGGCAAAGAGTAAAAGCACACATTCAAATGCTTACAGTCAAGCACTGTACAACAGCTCCATTGATGGCTCAAAAAACACGTCGATAGCTTCCCCGCCATGGACGGAAAAAGAAGAAAAAGTTCTCCACTGTGTGAATTTATGTGTTATTAGGGGAAGACGAACGGAAAAGGGTGATTTTATCTATTTCATTTTCAGGTGGTTTTAAATAAATCTCAGAAAGTAATATTCATGTGCGTGAGTGTGTAGGTTATACTGACACGTGTACGTATGTGATTGTGTTGTAGGGTTGGGGGGTTCATCCAACGGTAATGAAGCGAATAACTTGGAGATTTGGACATCGAGGTGGTGTAGTTTAGATTTTTTCTGGATTGCTTTCGAAACATAGAATAGAACGTGCTTTTCCGCGGTTATGAAGCAGTGATTCAGTGCGGGGTTGTGTACGTAGGAGATACGTGTGGCGGGATCTGAGGTGATGATAGACAAAATAGAATTGATCGGACGGTGGGGAAACGAAGATTTAAGGGTTGGGTGTGTATATTACAAAATTGGATTTTTATGAATTATGTTATATTTTTTTATATTTGTATATTTAATCATTGATTTTTTTTTCATTCATATTTACCTATTAATTTATTAAACTTTAAACATTTAGTCCTTATGATCGATTATTTTAGGTTAGCCGGTAAAAATAACTTAATAGGGTGTTTCTCACTTTAAACACATTTAGTCCTTAATATTTTTGTACACATTTAGTCCTTAATATATCTTTTTTTTTTTGCAAAATAAATCATTTTTGTTTTTGTACTCATTCAGTACTTATAAATGATTTCTTTAGGTTTTTCTCAAAACTTCTTACGTGGGATAGTCATATGGTTAGATAGGTTGAGATGGTTCTGCTATATGTTGTAGACCAAGATACCTGGTGCGGGCCAGCTGTAAGCTGTAGGCACTGAGGCTTTTCGTTGGGTTAAGGCGACATGCCGACAAATCTTGGGTATTCCAGTCTGATGACTGATTGGACCTGTTGCGTGTTGCATTCCAATCGGATGACTGATTGGGCCAATGTATTCTAATCTGATGAGTATGGGCCTATTATACATGATGATACGTTTGTTGTATCAAGTATTTTAGGGAAAACTCACTAAACTTTGTGCTTACCCAGTTGTTTATGTTTTCAGGTTCTATCGTTGATCGTAGGGAGGCGAAAACATGATTGTACACACTCATCAACAATATTGAGGATTTTGTATTTCTTATATTACTCTGATTTTCGATAAATATATTTTGGATTCATAATAATGGATTTATAATCAGGGATTTTTGCCTTATTTAAAAATAAAAAATTTTGGTTGTGAAAATGAGACATTACACATAAATATCAACAGCCCCACACACTTCATCAATAATTGTCTCACGTAAGATGTCGTGAGAAAAAAACTAAATAAATCATTCATAAGTACTGAATGAGTACAAAAACAACAATAACTTATTTTGAAACAAAAAATATTAAGGACTAAATGTGTACAAAAATATTAAGGACTAAATGTGTACAAAATAAGAAATATATTACCCTATTAAGTCATTTTCTCGGCTAACCTGGAGTAACCGGTCATAAGGACTGAATGTGTACAGTTTACCAAGATGAAAGGGTAAATGTGGACGAAAAAAAATACAGTGATCAAATGTGTACAAACCAAAAAAATATATTATCTTTTTAAATCATTATCCCGAGTTTCTAATCTCAAGAATGACGAACGGGGCTCTTTTTGCCACATAAGCATATCCAAAGTGTGAAAAGAAAGATGATATATTTAAGACAAAATTTTAAGTATGGTCCTTGTAGTTTTTAAAAAATGGTATGATTAGGATAACCATAAATATTGTTCCATGACCGGTACTTATAGTTTCTAACTCGTTTACGTGATCACAGGTTGACAGGTTGAAAACCTCAACCCAACCCAACTCATATAAACTCGTTTAAGTATATGGTTTAGTGAGTCGAACCCAACCTTCATATCCCATTTAATAAATAAGAAACACATTTTCAAAAATAAGGTTTTTCAACATAAAGTCATTAACATCAAAAAATAAATAAATAAATAAATAAAAAATCAAGATAAAGTAATAAGGTCATTAACATGCAAATAAAATTGAAAAATAAAACATTCATACAAAGTGCAATTGTTCAAAAATATCCGAAAACCAATTGGATAATTCATTCATGCTAGAATTCTCATTTTTTCCTCAACACTGGCTTTTTCATGCAAATTTAAATTTATGATCTTTTGAAAGCTACATAAATAATTTTATGTCTTCTATTATTTGTACTAAAAAGAACTCACCAAATGAGAGATTCATAATGGAGATTTATCAATTTAGAAAGAAATTTCACAGTGGGTATATGGTAGTCGATGCATTGTTACTTACTTGTGTGGATGGGTCAATTTAGGGTCGGAGCGTAGCACAAAAGTGAGAGTGATCGATTTTTTGTGTTTTCCGATTTTTCTCTCGTCGGTTGGTGGTATGAGAGTTGAATAGCCGACGACAGCTGGGATAGTAGGCGACCGGTGAATCTTCAATAAGCGAGTGAAGGGGTGAGGACGTGAGGACCGACCACTTGCCAGTGGTGGTTTGGAGGATGTGTTCTTCGTTCATGAGGATCGGTGACCGGCTGATGTAGCCTTTTAACTCTGGCACCAGTGACACCATAAACAAACTCTGTTTGATGAAGGGTGAAGTCTCTAGTAGTGTTCCTTGATTCAGATCGAAAAACTATACAACATCACCAGATCTAAAAAAAGGATGGTGGGGCGATGGAGGTTTGATGAAGAGGGGTGCTTCTTGCTGGAGAGGGTGGTGTCTCGTCTGGAAAATGTATATGTATATGTGTGTATGTGTGTGTGTGTGAGAGAGAGAGAGAGGGAGAGAGAGAGAGAGAGAGAGAGAGAGAGAGAGAGAGAGAAAGAAAGAGAAAGGGGGAGAGATAAGTGGGAGAATGACATAGAAAAGAAGCATCTACCATTTTCCTGGGAGGGATGATGCGAGGAAAGAAAGTGGTGGGATCTTTAAGGTTACAGTAGTTTAGCTTTAAATATTAATTTAAATTAAGAAAGAAAAATAAAATTAATAAAAAGAACAAAGTAATGGTATAATAATAATTTTAGATTAGTTATGAAATAAAATGGAAACATAAGGACCAATCATGCAAAAATTAAAATTGTAAGGACCAAATACATAACACTTTTCATACATATCCTAATCATGCCACTTTTTGCGAACCACATGAACCACAAAGAAATTTTATCTATATTTAAAACAAAGTTACACATTTGGTCGATGTGATTTGTCCAAATTCATATTTTTAGTCCTAAGGCCAACCAGTATGCATTTTACAAAGAGCAATTATGGCCACGGTGGCAACCAACCACAATCGTGCACACCACACGGTTGTGTCGTGATGGGTGATGGTTGTGGCATTGTGGAATGTGATAATCACCACAATTAAGAGTGTCCAATGAGAGAAGAATGATAATTTTTTCTTGTGGCTGACCGATAACGACTACAACCTTAACATGTATTTTTTTTTTCAAAATTTAAACACATTTTACCCCTAAAAATACAACACTACATTTTACCCCACTTGCATACATAACTTCATTCTCTTTTTTATACTTTTTAACATCACAAAGATGGATTTTTTAACAAACTATGATCCGGATGATTGGATGTTATTACAACGTTCTTTAATGTTGTTCAAAACATTGTCAATCAAGAGCACACACAGGTGTTAGTAATACAAAAACGATTGTTAATCAAGATCGGCAAGCTGCACATAAGCTTTTCATACATGTTTTTTTTTTTTTTTTTTTTTTTTTTTTTTTTTTTTTGTCAACGATTGTCCTTATGATGATGCAACATTCATTATCATATTAGTTGGGAAGTATTTTAAGTATCATTAATGTTTTAAAGTTGCATTATGATACTAAAGATGCTAGAGGTAGAATGAGTTTTAAAACTATTTGAATGTTCAATAAATTTTTTTCATTGTTTGTTTTTATTTTATTTTATCTACTTAATGTTTTTATTTTGATTAAAAAACTAGTACTTTCATTTAGTATTTAAAAGATGCCAATGGATAAATCTTCATATATGATATCTAGAATAAAAGTGTAATCGCTAGAATTAGAAGTATAATTCCCCAATTAAAAGTAAGATATCCAAATTAAAAGTACAATGCCTAAATGGTAAAGGTAAGAAATGATAATTTTGTTTGTATCTAATATAATAGGTTAGTAACAACCTTAAATTAGTAATGGAATATGAAAATAATAAGTTGTTGCTAACTTACACCCTCTATTCTTCAAATCTGTTCATAATATACATTCTACACCCTCAACCAATTGGCAGAAGGATACCTTACAAACACTCCTTATACCGCTATGCCACAGACCCTTTCTAGTTTCAAGACAATGAATGCAACAAATTAAACATTAACATATATTACAACACATAAGAATTTAAATGATGGAACTCAAGAATTATAAGGTAAAGAAAAAAGAAAGATTATATGGGTTGTAGCTTCCAATCAAATTCTAAGTGGTTGCAATTGGTTGAACCTTTCACCTTCTCTAATGCTGCATTTCTATGTTGCAACAAATGAAGCCCTCCCTCATCCTTTAAGTTCCTTTTACGCCCCATTTTACGTGATATGTTCTTCCATCTAAACTCAAACTTGCATGCTACAACACAACAAAAGGATGCATAGTACCAATGTTTTTTTTAATTTTATGAATAACTAATATATAAAATATGATTATAAAGATGATTTATTAACATAATGATCCAATTGCTTAAGTATACTTTTAGAAATATTTAAACAATTGGCATATTACTTTTTTAACTAGTTATTAATAAATTATAACCAAATTAATCTATCACAAATCTTTCTTATACATAAACCTTTTTAAAACTTTTTTTTTTCTAAAATGTAACTAATTTATCTTTATCTATCTAAAATGGTTTATAAAGATCAGATGATGTGGTTTACCATTTTTTTACGGCTACTCATCTAATTTTTTAAAGGAAAGATAACTTGACCTTTAAAACTTAAATGACTAAAAACGTATATGACACTTCAAAAAAATTAATTGATAACAACTTTTATTGGTGTCACTATTGTTTTGACAAACGCTTTTTAATGATATACCTCTTCAAAGATACACTCATTTTTATTTTGTATATTTAATAAGATAGATCCATTAGTCAAGATCAAGAAACAATAAATATTCAAAAGACAAATATATTATTCCAATGGTAATAACCTATCGAAAGACTCTAAATGAAATAGTAAAAAATTATGTAACAACCTCCTATCGAAGATGCTCAAGAAGACAAAAGGACCAAATGCATAATAGTATAAAAGAATATCATAATAGATTAGAAGCTTACCTTCACTTTTACTCTCAAAACCTTGAATAAGGCATGCACAAATCCAAGGTCTTCCAGCTTGTGATGCTTTTGCACCACCTTTTAATTCACCATTATGTTGTTTCAAGCTGCAAAAAGGAGGTCAAATAAGCAAAATTTTACTAAACAAGATGGTTGAATTGTATGCCCCTAAATATACATTGTAACCAGTTTAAATGCTTTATTTTTGCAACAATATTTCATTCTTTTTGCACAAACGAAAGATTGAGAATAGATTATGCCAAGAAATCACTAGTTGAAGCTAAAGATGATTACATAGTTAAATATGTGTTCAAGATAGCAAGTTGAAGTTTAGGGAATCCTGAGCAATAAAGTTCTAATCTTGTCTCATTAATTCGCATATGCATTAAGTAAAAAAAAATGAACATATACAGAAGAACAATTGTCCTGATTTAGGTCATAATTGGTTGGGTTGCTGTGAAAAGAAATAAAACAGTGCAAGTTATACATATATACATGGATTTCCCTTGAAGTGTAATCAAAGGGTAATATGATTCCTCCTTCTCCCTGAACCTTTAATCCCTAATGAAACTTTAAAAAAAAAAAATCAAGATCCCTGTTTTTATAATTCCATTCGTTTCCAAATTATTCCTACATTTCCAAATCATATTGATAACCCCAGAGATTAGGAGATCAAAACCCACCATTAGGGTGCCTAAACTTCGTAATCGGACTTTTTTTTTACCAGAAGTGAAGAAAGGGTGGAAATCTACGGAATTTCTTCAATTTTGCAGTTTTTCAGATATAAGCAAACCACAGAGCATAAAGACAGATAGAATGGGGGTTTACCGGCGAGAAAAATTGGTGGTGACGCCAACGTAAGTTTTGATCGGTGGATTAGTCGATAAGATTAGATACACCGACCAATTAGGTTGCTTTGAGGCCACCGACGGCGAGGGATTGGAGTTTGATGATGATGGCGATGAAGATGGAAGTCTTGTTGAAGGTGATTTTGGAAGCTGAGAATGTGGTTTGATGGATCGGAAGGTTGTGGACAGTAACCTCGTCATTCATACAAATTGGAACTGCTGCTTTCATCCCATCTCAACGAACAGATCGTTGCAATCTACATAACTACATTATTATTATTATTTGTGGTGAGATTAGATTAAGTGTATTATAATTAAAAGAAGTTTTTTTTTTTAATCCCATATCATCTTTTTTTCATTTTCATTTTGATACTTGTTGTTTTGTAAAAAATTTAGAAATTTTATTTTCCACTTATAATTTTTTAGTGATTTCTATTTTCTTAAAATAAAATTTCATAAAATTGTAATAGGTTCTATAAAGAAATAAAATTATCCTATTAATTTGGTAATAAATTCTCATAAATACTTCAAAGTTCAAACGATTTAGTTTCTTTTGCAAATTTTCAGAAGATTGCATTATGTTATATAAAGTATTACATTATAAAATATTTCATATTTATATATTGATATAAAAATTTTATTTTTAATAAACCTTTATAATGCACGGGTCTCAGATCTAGTTCTTATTAAAATCAATTGATTTAGCTTATCACTACCACAATAAGCTGATTTTTAAGGAATTCTATCCGAACATCTAAAATTAACTTATCGTGGTTAGAATAAACAATAAGGAAAATGACATAAAAGCCCATAAGTTTTTACAAAAATATCGTTTTTACACTTGGACGTGCTTTATGTCCGGTAAAACTCGAAGTTTTGTTTAATTTGTTCATTTTTACCCTTGTAGCGGTTTCCAGGTAACCTAACGGTTACCTAATGCCATTAAAACCCTTGAATTTTCAAAAATGTTTGGATTTACCCTTAAGTTTTTCAAAAATGTTCGGATTTACCCTTACATTGATTGTTGTTGTTGTTATTGTTGTTGTTGTTGTTGTGTTGTTATTATTATTATTATTATTATTATTATTATTATTATTATTATTACATTTTTAATTGTATAAAAATATTTTATACATACATTTTTAAATGTATAAAAATATTTTATACATTTTTAAATGTATAAAAATATTTTATACATTTTAATACATTTTTAAATGTATAAAAATATTTTATACACACATTTTTTAATGTATAAAAATATTTTTACTAGTATAAATATATTTTTAAAAATATATGTACTTGTATTTAGTATTTATATACATTTGAAAACCATATATCTTCATCTATAATTGTTGAATCGAACAGAAAAAGCTTGATAAAGTGAAAAATATCATCAATGATCGATTTTGCAAAAACAAATGCTTCAGATCAATAAAAAAATTGATGCATTTCGTGATCTTTTTTTTGAACTTACAACAATCATAAATGAAGTTTACACTCGTATTTGACATTTCGTTATCAATTTTTGAGATAAAAACAGTTAATGAATGATTTTAAGTTGATAATACTTAATTTTTACAGTGATCAAGTGTTTTTGTCGAGTTTTTTTTGAATTATATTTTGTATATTTTCCATTATACGAGTATTATTTGATGATCATTTATTGTTATCTACTCACTTTTAACCTAATATAGTTGAATAATAGAGGTTTTTTTAAAAAAAAAATTATACTAAATCTTATCTGTAATCGAGTGTTTTTATTGAGGTTTTCTAATTACGAGGGTTTTATAATTGTTACGTTATGCTTTTAATTAATGAATATTTATTTTGCTTATCTATTTAGTATGATGTTTGATAATAAATACATATTTATACTTGGTAATATGTACAAATAAATATAATTATATCGTTTATATAATATAAACCATATAAATACATATTTTTATATTTATATGTATATAAAATATTTTTATATGAAATAAATATATATTTATACTTATACCTACTAAATACAAATAAATACATTTTTAATATATAAATACATTTCTAAAGGAATACATGGGCTTTCAAATGTATATATAAATAGTAAATACAATTATATATTTTTTTAAAATATATTTATATTAATAAACATATTTTTATACATTTAAAAATGTGTGTATAAAATATTTTTATACATTTAAAAATGCAATAATAATAATAATAATAATAATAATAATAATGTATTAAAAACATATGAAATATTTTTATACATTTAAAAATGTATGTATAAAATATTTTTATACAATTAATAATGTAATAATAATAATAATAATAATAATAATAATAATAGCAATCAAGGTAAGGGTAAATTCGAATATTTTTTAAAAACTTAAGGGTAAATCCGAACATTTTTGAAAATTCAAGGACTTTACTGACATTAGGTAACCTAGGTAACCGGTAGGTTACCTAGAAATCGGCTACAAAGGGTAAAAATGAACAAATTAAACAAAACTTCGGGCTTTACTGGACATAAAACACGTCCAAGGGTAAAACAGACATTTTTGTGAAAACTTAAGGGTTTTTATGTCATTTTCCCTAAGCAATAAACAATAAACAATAAACAATAAACATCCTCTTTTTTTCTATCCAAACACCCCTAAGTTACTGAAATAGTCTTTATAACGCACAAACACCATTCTTTTTCACTGTTTTTGGGCGTTATATGCTTGCCTTGTGTCACAAGTAGCATTTTCAGCTAGGAGATTCTATTTTTATGTAAATATCAACTATTTTAAGGCTTGCTCTTCAAGTGAATGTCATGCTACATGCTAAGATAAAAATCATCCATTTGAATCCAAACCCTGAGTAAAGTTCAAAATCTAATACAATACGTCTCACATATTCAACTATAGGTTGAAAACCCTAAAAATCTTGGTCTAAGTTATTATGGACTAGGATCCTCTTATTGGGCCTAATGGACCAGTAAATTTTCAACTTGACAATTTTGGGCCATGAAATTCTACATGGGCCCTAATTGGGACCCACATTCATGAAACTAAAGTATTTTGGGCCATGTGGGCCAAGAATGAGTCATCTTATCTCTAATGGGCCATGATGGGCCATAAATAGTTTCATAATCCCTAATGGGCCGTAAACTATAATCATGGGCTTCTTTCGGCCGTGAACTCTCATAATGGCCCAATAGGCCGAAATTTTTTTTATTTTGGGCCTCATGAATTCGAACTAGGTCAAGAAAGGGCCCAAACTATCTCATTCTTTTCTTTGACCCATTCTCAGCCCAACTAAAACAAAAAAAAAATAATAAAAAATGGAAAATCCTTAAGAAGACACCTCATTATTAGCTAGAGGACTCCTAAGTTAATTACATCCCATATAACTAAGTTCTTACCCTTTAATCTCCCATGCAATAACCAATCTTCTCTCTCCCCCTTTCTTCTTCTAGTCTCGGCCGAACCCACCACCTCCCCACCATCACTTTTACTCTCAAACTCACCCAAGAAATTCTCTTTAGAGCTCTCAAGAAAAATCTCACTTCCCTCTCCAAGTTAGTGTGTGTGCTTGTGTAGTGTTCAAGAACTTTTCATCAAAGCTCATCATTTTGGTAAGTTTTGTTTAACTCCATAGTTTTAACTTCAAGTTTACACCAAAAACCACTTCTTAACCCACCTCATTGCATGGTCTATGTTCTTAGAACATCTTAGAGCTCGAAAATCATCTCAAGAACACATCTAGGGTCGATATCTCTTCATTTCTTCATCAAAAACCGAAATATTCAAACAAAGGTGAGTTTATACCCCCTATTTTTGGTTTCTACTTTGTTTTGGGGGAGAATACAAGCTGTTTTGTATAGATCTATGTGTATATGCATGATTTTGTGTGTTTTCTTTAGTTACATATGTGTTTATGTGTTGTAAAACTTCATAAACCTAAAGATATACTAAAAGATGATGATAATGGTATAACATAACACTTATTTCAACATATCACATAAGAAAAGGGATTAAAACACTCTTGGGATACTTGAATCTAAGAAAATTTTCATGAGAGGAGCTAAAATCGACAAAATAACAAAATATGGGCCAATCGTGTAACTTACGGCTAGTATGGGGTTCAAAAGGAAATTTTTGTTAAAACAATGGCTAAACTCAACATTTGAGACCTTGTAGGGACCAAAAATGTAAATATTTTCATAATGGGCTTATTGGGCTTCTCACATTTTTTATCCCAAATTTTGTAATTCTTGACTTTTTGTGGGTTTAATTATCATTTTCAAGAAAATTGTGTCAAAAATGTAAGTTTTTGATAAAAAGGGGTCAAATTTGCGAAAATTATGAACATTTGCGCCAAAAGATGAAATTCTCTATAAATGGGTTGAAAATGTATATTTTCACAAAAACCAAGCCAAAAATGATGTTTTTGACAAGAATGAGTTAAAAATGTTATTTTTACAAATACTAGCCTTAAATACAAGTTTTGTCCAAAAGAGGGCCTAAAATGTTATTTTTACTAAACTTGGGCAATAATTGTAAATTTTTGGCTTAATAAGCCAATAATGTCAACTTTTACAAAAGTAGGCTTTTTATGCCATTTTAGTAAATAATTGAGCCACTACTAGCAAAATAATAACAAACGGGCTAATTTTGATGTTTTCATGTTATTGGGCCTTAGTGGCCCATTTATATGTTTGATAGGTCCTAAATATTTATATGTTTATTGAGCCTCATTGACCCATTAACATATTGACCCATTAACATGCGCGACGGACCTTAGATAATATTTGCATTCTATTTGGGCACGTAAATACTTTACATGTGAAATGGGCCTCAGTTGTCCTTTTACATATATTTTGAGCCCATGTTATATAATCTCGTTCCTTTCGGGCCTAAAAATGACTTATATGTTTAATATACCTTCTAATTAATTATAGTAACGTTATTAGGAACTTATAATAAGTACTTGGGCTATTATTATGGGTTATATAAGTATTGTTTAATGCGTATATAATAGTAATAATAGCTAGACTATTAATTAGTCTCGGTGAATATTAGACTAAACCCTAGTGGTAATGATACTAGGTTTTGACGAAGGAAATTGTTTCAAGACTAACGAAGCATTGTCTAAGTTCGGAATCACCACCTTGACAGGTGAGTACATAGTCACTTTCATCTTACACATAGATATGAAGTATTTTATATAAATTACGTGCTATGTGTGCATATTATCTGAATACTTGTTGTCTATGCTGTATGAATGATTTTATACAT